GATCTTCAGCCTCTCTGCCCGCACCCTCTGGAACTCCATCCCACATTCCCTTCACTTCGCTCCCTCTCTTGCCTCCTTCAGGGCATGCCTCTTCGACCGTGACTTTGGCCACTCTCCTACCCTCTCTGCTCTCCGCCCCACTCCCCTGCTTGGGTCCTAATCCCTAATCCCTGACTGTTCAGCGCCTTGGGATGTCCTCCCGACGTGAAAGGCGCATCACAAATGTAATTTTACATTGTATGTTATTACAATGTAAATCACTGTGTAGAGGTAATTTCTAAATGCTTTGCAATGATGATCAACCAGACCAATAACACGACCATTTTACATATGAATGGATGTTACTTTTCTTAACATATTTGAGCTTCCTTAAATAGCTACTTTTTCCAGGAGGTTGATATTTTCTCATGCCAGGTGTTTTGTCAAGCCATTTTTGAATAGTCTTAAGAACATTATTACTATTAACATTATTTCTATCATGATGATTTATATTCTTATTGCAGCATCGAGCTATTCGTTAAATAAAAACAATCCTTGCATCTGATGTAATAAAAATAATCCTATCACAGGGTTGAGACGTCTCAAAGCGCTTCACAGAATATACTGTAAAGTTGTTTGACTGTGTAGTTTGTGGGAGAAACGAGGCAGCCAATTGCGCACATTGTAGCGTCCTTCACATCATAAGCACGTCACAAATCGTTTCACAGAAATTAGTGTAAAGCATAGTGACTGTGTGTTTTGTGGTCCTGCTCCCACTATAGCTTCCTCTCTGTGGAAAAATAAACTTCCTGGTGTCTGTCCTAAATTTGAGCTTCACACTCCTGAACCTGCAGCCTCAGTATACCTGAAAGGTTTTTTTCTGGACTGACTTTCTCTGTTCCATTTCAAATTATATATAAATAAATACCTTCAAAGTCCTGATTATCATTGATAAATACTCAGAAAGTCTGAGTGAGAGAAAGGAAGAGTCAGAGGGGAACGAGAGAGAGCGAGAGCGTCTGAGAAGGGGAAAGGGAAAATCTAAATAACAACAAAATTACATTTGCCTTTCACATCGGAAGGATGGCCCAAGGCGCTGGACAGTCAGCGTTTCGGACCCAAGCTCAGGTTCGGGATTGGTGATGGTAGAGTGCAGGTGGGGAAGGAGGGTGATCGAGAGCACGGTCGAAGAGGGGGTTCTTGAGATGGGTCTTGAAGGAGGCAAGCGAGGGGGCGAAGAGGAGGGACTGCAGGATAGAGTTCCACAGGGTGGGCAAAGCGGCAGAAGGCCCACCCACCAATGGTGGGGTGGGCAAGGCGGAGGACGTGAAGCAGGCCGGAACCCACTGAGCAGAGGGAGCAGGCAGGATGGTAGGGTGTTAGAAGGTTGCAGAGGTACAGGGGAGGAAGGCCATGGAGGGCTTTAAGCTGAGGACCAGGATCTTGAACTGTATCCTCCGTGTGATGGGAAGCCAGTGGAGTTGGGCGAGGATGGGGACGATAGGGTCACGTGGCCTGGTGAGTGAGAGGACATGAGCTGCAGAGTCCTGGATGATCTGCAGCCTGTGGATAGTCAAGTTATGAACGCGTGTATCAGGGTTTCGGCGGCCTGTGGTGTGCGACAGTGGTGGAGTGAGGGAGTACAGGGAGTGATGGGAGGGGTGGGGGGGAGAGTCTAAGAGAGAGAAAGGATCCACAAATAGGAATGTACAATGGAAGTCGCTTAAACTGGACGCACAGCGACCGTCTGTTTTGTCCGGCTTAAGTGGCGTCCGAGGCTAACCAAAGTTCTTTTACCTCTTCCCACCCAGCAGAGGAGCAGCCACGGTGACTCCAAGATGCTTGTGAATGGATGGTCACTTCACCATTCACTAGTGGCTCCAGCTGTCAATCAATAGTGATTTGATTCCTCCCATTCCCATCCTTGTTTCTTCCCCATTCCTCCGCCCCCACCCACCCCCACCCCTCAGTGATTGACAGCCCGAGGTTGCTTGTGAATGGCTGGAGTCTTCTGTCAATCAATCGCATTTGGACTTCTCCCATCTCCATGGTGAGCGAGTAGATACAGCGGGCGACTAGCACAGGATTTTGTTCGGATGAACCGGCATATTTAAAACGGGTAAGAAATATGGGTGAAGCTGGGTCAGGCGTTTTTTTCCGATCTACCTGGCATCCGGGGTTAAACTGGCGTCTGGGGTTAATTGGCGTCCGGCTAAAGCGGCTTGCACTGTCCTTTATGACTGGGATAGAACGTGCCATGGGTGAGAATTTTCTGAGGGAGATCTAGGGGTGCGAGTTGGCTCGATTCTCACTTCGTCAAACAGTGTGAGGCAGCAATAAACAAGGTAAACAGGATACTAGGATATTATTGCTAAATCGGTTAAGTTTATATCTCCAGATGTCATATGCAGGCTGTACAGTGGTCTGGTTAGACCACACCTAGATACTACATACAGTGCAGAGGAGAGCAATGAGGATAATCCACAGTGTTAGAGCATTGAGCTGTGAGCAACGATTAGCCAAGCTCAGGCTCTTCAAGTTTTGAAAGAAGACGACTCAGACTGGATCTCATGGAGGTGTTTAAAATTTTAAACGGGATTGAAAATTTAAACTCAGATCAATACCTCAGATAATAATAAAATAATAATAATCCACGCATTTGATGCAGCGATTTATCGCATCTTCGAGACGTGTCGAAATGCTTCACAGAATATACTGTAAAGTGGAGTGACTGTATATTTTGTGGGCGAAACGCGGCATTCAATCGCGTACAGCAGCAGCCCACAAACAGTCGTGGATTGAGTGACCAAATTACTATTGTTTTTTTAAAAAGGGATTACTACCCCCCGGAAAAGTAATCTGCCAATCGATTAACAATCTTGCTGCTATGCAAACAGAGGCTTGTGGAGGAATCAAACCCAAGTCCTCTCGCTTGCAAGGCTACCGTTCTAACCAGTAAGATACAGAACTCCACTCCAACATCTATCGAGGCGGCAGAACAAGAGGACACAGGTTTAGAGGTGTAAAGGGCAATTTCAAGACAGACACCAGGAAGTGTTTCTTTACTCAGAAGATAATTAACGACTGGAACAGAGTTACCACAAAGCATGGTTGAGGGCAGGGCACTGGGACTCGTTTAAAAAAACAGCTTGATGTTGTGATTGGGGCTGTAGGGTGGGTGTTCTGGATGGAGGGGATCATAAAGGCTGAAGAGTGTTCTTCATCCAGACCAGTCTTTTGATCTTGTGAGAGAGAAAGAGAGAGAAAGAGTCAGGGATTGGCAGAGAGAGAAAGAGAGAGCGAAGGGCGAGCATTGTGTGCTACTATAATGACAATTTTCCAATTTGGATTGTAGTCAATTTGTATTTTCGTGATGTCCAATGATCCACACTGCTGACTTATCCACAATGGGCCCAGTCACAATTAGTGCAGATATGGAGCTCTGTATTGCGTCGATAATTGTGCCCATCAACAAAATCACTGCTTTGTTACAATCTGGCTTATTTTCTTGAGGTTTTGATGTTCCCACATCAATCCTAATTTTCATCAAATCATGGAAACAAAGAATCTTACAGCATAGAAGGAGGCCATTCGGCCCATCGTGCCTGTGTTGGCTCTTGAAAGAGCTACCAACTAGTCCACTCCCCCGCTCTTACCCCATAGCCCTGTAATTTTTTTCCTTTTCAAGTACCTATCCAATTCCCTTTTGAAACACTGGTCCACGCCTTTATCACCTCAAGGCTGGACTATGGGCACTCTCTCCTCGTCGGCCTTCCTGGCACCTCCCTCCACAAGCTGCAGGTCATTCAGAACTCTGTAGCTCGTGTACTGTCCCGCACCAGGCTTCGGGACCACATCACTCCCACCCTCGCTCGCCTCCACTGCCTCCTCATCCCCCAGAGGGTCAAATTCAAGATCCTCATCCTCACCTACAAGGCCATTCACGGCCTTGCGCCCTCCCACCTCTCCGACCTACTATCCCCCTACCTACCTGCCCGTACCCTCCGTTCCTCTGGCTCCAGTCTGCTCCACAAATCCCCCGCCCTAACATCAGTGGCCGGGCCTTCAGCCTCTCAGCCCCGAGGCTCTGGAACTCCACGCCCCAGTGTCTTCGCCGCCTCCACCCTTTCCTCCTTCAAGGCCGGTCTCAAGACCTTTCTCTTCGACCGTGCCTTCAGCTCCCCTCTCGACTCTCTACCCCCTCCTCACTCCCTCCCTTCCCTCCCCTCACCCTGACCATTTCCCCCCTGCTCGGGTTCCGATCCACCTGTCCAGCGCCTTGGGACGACCTCCCAACATGAAAGGCGCTCTATAAATGAAATCTTGTAATTGAAATCTTGTTGTTATTGAAAGTTTATTAAATCTGCTTCCATCACACTTTCAGGCCCAAATAGATTCTCTCCCCCAAACCCCCCGTTCCCCAAAAAGCTAGGTTTGTATGATGTAATAAAAGTAACATTAATGGGTCCTTCCCTACATACCTCTACAAATCCTCTTGGGGAAAGAGCAGAGGAATGGGATTAGAGTAGAGAGGTCCAGTGGAGGAGCGAGCACCAGCACAGACACCTTGAGAGAAAATTCCTCTTTCTGCGCCGTAGTGTCCAGGAGTGCTTGACAATGGAGGAGTCTAACCCCAAGTCAGAGGGAGAGGGAGCGGGGAGGTGACTGTGAGCACCATCAAAATAGAAGGTCTTTAAGCGGGATTTGAAGGTTGGGAGGGGGATTAGGGGGCAAGGCGGAGGGATTGAGGGAGAGAGTTCCAGAGTTTCGGGGCGTAGTGACTGAAGGCATGTCCACTGGTGGTGGAGCCGAGGGGGCGAGGGACAAACAGACTATATTAGAAGGGAATCGGCTTCCCTACACATCATTTTCCTCTTAAAGAAAAGAACAGAGGGTGGTAAATCTTACAAATGAACTGACTAAACAAATGCTGAACAAAAATGAAAAAAATTCTCGCCTAATTCTGGACTATCTAAAATGCTAAGCAAGTTACAACAACAATAATAATACTTGAGTACAGATTTCAGATTTTCCGAGCCAAGTAAGGCTCGGGAGAGGGACATTTTTATTATTAGTAATAATAATTATAACCCTTGTATTTTGTACAGCCCCATTTATGTTGTCAGGACATCTCAAAGCGCATCGCAGGATTGACAGTAAAGTGCAGCGAATGTGTTTCGTAGTGAAAGTAGTTTAAATCTAGACCCAAGTGGGGATAGTCCCCATAGTCCCAAGGCAAGTGGCAATGCACAGATCCCTATATATGATTCCACGTTCAACAAACAAAACAAACCGCAACAAAATGAATGGAACGAACAGATTAACAATTGAAAGAAATGAAAGAAATGAACGAACAAATGAACGAACAAACTGTCTGCGTGTCTCATTTCAGGTTCATGTTGCTTTGAAGCACTTTCAGCTTCTTGATCATCCCCTGGACCTGGGGGTCGTAGTTCAGCAGCTCGTTGTGAGAGTTCTGCTGCAGGATGGTGTTAAAGATCTCCTGCACAGTAGACCAGAGAGGCTCCAGGCTGTACATGCATTTGCTGGACTTGTGCAGGACCTCCACGCTCCCGTGCAGGCTGTCCAAATAGTTGTAGCAGTACCTGAGCTTGCTCCTGACCTCAGCCTGACCTGCGCAGACTTTCTTGAGGTTCTCCACATCTCGCTCCTTCTGCGCCAGTTTTTCCTTCAGCCTCGCGATGTCTTTGCTCAACTTGGGTATCTGCTCGTTGCATTTTCTGAGCTCAGTCTCCTGCTCGGTAATGCTGGCCTCAAATTCCTGCCCCTTTTTGTCGGTCAAATTTACCAGCTCCCTTGTCTTCTTCAGCTCCTTGCTGCAGTCCACCGTCATTGGGATTCCTGCGGGGGAACCAAGGAACCCATAGAAATTTACAGCAACGACGACGACAACAACAACTTGCATTCGTAACATAAACCATGCATTTGATATAGCTCCTCATCGCATCGTTGAGACGTTTCCTGCCCGGCCCACCCACCATCAGCAGTCAGGCCTTCAGCCTCTCTGCCCCCGCCCTAAGGAACCCCATCCCACAGTTCCTTTGGCTCACTCCCTCCCTTGTCTCCTTCAGGGTATGTCTCAATCCTCCTCTTCGATCGCCTTTGGTCACCCTCCAACCCCTCACCCCACCCTCCATCTTCCTGATCTCAACCCCCAGCTCGGGTCCAAATCCTTGATTGTGCAGTGTCTTAGGACGTTCTCTCGACATGAAAGGTCCTATACACTTGTGAGTTGTTGCTGCTTCAAAGCGCTTCACAGAATATATTGTAAAGTGAAATGACTGTATATTTTGTGGGCGAAATGCATCAGCGAATTATGTACAGCAGTGTCCCACAAACAGTCGTGGAATGAGTGGCCAATTTTTCATTATTATATTTCAAGGAATTATTACCCCTGGAAAAGCGATCCGTCAATCGACTGACAACTGGGTTTCGACTTACTGCTAGGTAAACAGGCGTGCGGAGTAAGGAAACTTGCCTAAGGTTTCGCTCTGCCCGGGAATCAAACCTGGGTCCTCTTGATTGCACGGCAAGTGCCAAAACCACTACACTACAGGACTCCACTGAATGCAATACAACCCTCCCGTAGAATAGAACAGGAGATCTTACCCACACATGGCACTAGGAGAATCAGACCAATTCCAACATCTCTACCAGTCACCTTCTCACCCTGCCTGGCCTTGGCTGCAATCAAGGTGTTCTTAGCTTGTTTGAGGGACGAGCGTGCAGTCTGGAGCTTGTCTCGGATCTCTTGCCTACGGCTCTCCTCTGTTATCAGCTTGTCCTTCTCAATCCACAGCTCCTCCTCCAGCTTGGTTCTCTCTTGTTCAGCAATCTCCAGGTTCGCTGCCAACAGCATGCCTTGGGCAGTCAGTGACTCGATCACCTGCTGCCCCCCGGTCCTGGCCCTGCCCAGCTCATCGTAGCATGACTCAATCTCCAGCTTCATCATCCTGCACTCTGGATCGTCCAGTTCCTTGTTCCCAGCCACTGACGCCAATTCCGCAAAACTCAAAAAGGAGGAGATCCCGCTGGCAAAGTGCGGCAGCGTGGCGTCCTTGAACTTCTTCTCATACACCTCGTATTCCGACATTGTCCTGAGATTTGCCCTGTGGGTGGTGGGGAGGCAAAGAAACCTTTAATAATAATAATACTTTCATTTGCCATAGTGCATCTCATTGGGGCATGTCAAAGCACTTCACCGAATATACTGTAAAATGGATCTTATGTATAGCTAGGGGCATGACATGTCAAGCGACTGCTCAGATGGTGGAAGGTGAACTGGATGGACCTTGGTCTTCTTTCGTTTAGCATTTCTTATGAATTGACTGTGTATTTTGTGGATGAAAAGGGCACCAGTTGCGCACACCAAAACAATCATAGTGAGGAACCAGTTTTACTCAGTATTCCGACATTGTCCTGAGATTTGCCCTGTGGGTGGTGGGGAGGCAAAGAAACCTTTAATAATAATAATACTTTCATTTGCCATAGTGCATCTCATTGGGGCATGTCAAAGCACTTCACCGAATATACTGTAAAATGGATCTTATGTATAGCTAGGGGCATGACATGTCAAGCGACTGCTCAGATGGTGGAAGGTGAACTGGATGGACCTTGGTCTTCTTTCGTTTAGCATTTCTTATGAATTGACTGTGTATTTTGTGGATGAAAAGGGCACCAGTTGCGCACACCAAAACAATCATAGTGAGGAACCAGTTTTACTCATGGAGGGTTGTTGGCCAGGAAAACTGGGAGAGAGAAACGCCCTTCTCTTTTTGAATACTGCCCTGGGATATTTAACATCCGCCTGATCAGGCAGACGGGACCTAAAATTTATGTCTTATCCAAACTTCAGCACTTCCAACAATACAACATCCCCCCAGCACTGCAATGAAGCGTCAGCTTAGATGATGTGATTCCAAGTCCTGATGTGGGGCTTGAACCCACAGCCTTTCTGACTCAGTGGCGGGAGCACTACCACTGCACCAGGCTGATACACTGTTAATGTGTTAACTAAAGTGTCAGCAATCTGCACCAGCGAGGTCCTACAGCAGACATGTCCTGATGTGGTGCTTGAATCTTCTAATTCAGAGATAAGAGTTCTGCCAACTGAGCCAAACTGACCTCAAGTCATTGGCAGCTCCATATCACAATAATAATCCTCACATTCGTTACAGCACTTCTCATGTCATGAGTATTTCTCAAAGCACGCCACAAGATTTACTATAAAGTGTAGTGACTGTGTATTTTCTGGGCAAACGAGGCAGCCGGTTTTGCACACAACAATGTCTCTCAAACAGCCATGAAGTGAGTGAGCAATTTTATCTGGAGAATTGTTGACCAGGACATGGGGAAGAGAGAAACTTCCCTTTCTTTTTGAAAAGTGCCAACAAATCTTTAATGTCCACCTGAACAGGCAGATGGGATCTGAGCTTAACATCTCATCTGAAGGACGGCATCTTTCGTCCCCCTCCAACCCCTCCACATCGTGATCAATGTCCTTGCTTTCAGCCACTAACCTCTGGAACTTCCTGCTCAAACCCTTCATCTCGCACTCTCTTTAACTATCTTTAAATCCCACTTTAAGATATACCTCTTCAATCGGGCCCATGGTCACCTCCCCCATCTCCCTTGGTCAATATCCAAGGGTGCTGTATAAATGTGAGCTGTTGTTTCTATAATAATAATCCTGACGTTTGATATAGCACCTTATCACATTGTTGAGATGTCTCAAAGCACTTCAGAGAATATACTGTAAAGTGAATTGACTGTATATTTTGTGGGTGAAAAGTGGTAGTCGATTGCACCCACCAGTGTCCCAAAATAGTGACCAAATTATTATTTTTGGAGGGATTATTATCCTCAGAAAGTGATCCATCAATCAACTAACAATCAGGTTCCTACTTACTGCTAGGCAACCCGAGGCGTGTGGGGTAACAAAATTTGCCTAAGGTTTCACCCTGCCCAGGAATTGAACCTAGCGAGGCTTGTGAAATGAATGCTCTAATCACTGAGCTACAGGCCTCCAACAACTACAACAACTTAATTTATATAGTTGGGGGGATAGACTGACAGAGGCTGAGAAACTAAGGGTTAATAATGGTAAATGCTTTTATAGAGCAGGCTTCAAACTGTTCAACAACGAGGGAATCATACAGCTATGCAAATACTGTATTCAATGCAAATAGACCCTTTGGAACCATTGTTATTGCATTGAGGGACTTCAGTGAAACACGTATTATTAAAATTGGCAACGCAGGTGCAAACAGTCAGTGAAAAAAGACAAATGAGAAGCTGGGCTTTTACAATGTCTTTCAATACAAATAAAGGGAAGTTATGTTAACTGTAAAAATAACCTCATATTAGGAAGTTATTTCTGTGTGCAATTGGCTGCCACGTTTTGCCCACAAAATGCAGTCAATTCACTTGACAGAATATTCTGTGGTGCTCTTTGAGACATCTCAGCGACATGGTAAGGAGTTATGTAAAATGGAAGGATTGTTAGTATTATAGGAGGAGGTTTCAAAGTTTTACTGTTTTGTAAACAGATGAGGCAGCCAATTTGTCCACAATGGTGGTCCACAAACATTCATGAAGTGAATGTTCAATTTTATTTGGGAGAATTGTTGGCCGGGACACTGGGAGAGAGAAATGCCCTTCTCTTTTTGAATATTTAAAGTCCACCTCAATGGAGAACATTGGCTTAATGTCGCATCTGAAGGACAGCACTATTGATGATGCAGTGCTCCCCCCCAGTTGGCCTGATGACTATGAGCCCGAAGTCCCTGCCCTACCCATCCCACCATCACCTTCAGCCTTTCTGCTCCAACTCTCTGGAACGCCATCCTGGAATCTCTTCACCTCACCCATCTTTCAAAGTCGTCTCCCTTCCTCTTGTATCACATCCTTGGTTATCCTCCCACCACACCCACCCCCCACCACTTTGCCCTCCACCCCTCTTGACTCCAGCTCCCTACTCGGGTGCAAACCCTCAACTACACAGTACCTTGGGTTGTCCTCCAGACATGAAATGTACCATATAAATGCAATTTGTTGTTGTTATAGCCTTTGAACCCACAAGCTTCCGTGTTTCAGAGGCGACAGTATTAGCAACTGAGACATTAAGCCAAGATTTCCTGTTCAGGTGGATGTTAAAGATCCTGTGTCAATATTCGTAAAGAGAAGGGAGTTTCTGTCTCCTGGTGTCTTGACCAACAATCCTAGCAAATGAGCCAGGCTCCTACACAAAATAATAATAATTCTTGCATTTGATAGAGCGTCCTATCAAGTCGTTGAGATGTCTCAGAGAGCTTCAGAGAAATGCGGCAGCCAATTGCGCACAGCAGTATCTCACAAACAGTTGTGGATTGAGTGATCCATGTTTTTTTGAGGGATATTACCCACGGAAAGTGATCCACCAATCGACTAACAGCTGGATTCCTACTTACTGCTTAGGAAACTTACCTAAGGTTTTGCCCCGCATGGGAATTACAAGTCCTCTTGCTTGTGAGACCAGTGCTCCAACTAATATGCTACAGGTAAGAATTGAGGTGGAACTTAAGGGGGAGGGGAAATTGAGTTCTAAAGAGTTTAGGGATGTAGGGACTGAAGGCTTGCCCACTGATGGTTGTGTGGAGAGAACGTGAGACATGTAGCAAGTCCAGGAGGAGAAGGGTAGAAGAACAGAGAGGTAAGGAGGTGCCAAGGAGTGGATGGATTTATTTATAGCTGGGAATGAGGACCTTGAAATCGATCCACTGAGGAAGTAATGAGCCAAGTGGAGACTGACAAGGACTGGTCCGAATGGAGTTGGTTCGGGTTAGGGTGCAGGTGGTGGAATTTGGATTGTGTTGCAGCTTGTGAATGGTGGAGCTAGGGAGACCAGCGAGGAGAATGTTAAGAAAGCATAAACAGCATGTGGCAAACGTGTGAATGAATATGAATAAACATTTGAAGAAGAGCTTCGGGACGTCCTCCCGACGTGAAAGGCGCTCTCTATATGCAATTTTGTTGTTGTAAACGGTAAAAGAGGGAACGAGAGTGAATAGGGATTAGAACTTTCTCCCACAAAATTTACAACATATTCTGTGAAGTATGTGAGACGTCTCGATGATGTGATAAGTGGCTATATCAAATGCAAGGATTATTATTAGATTATTATTAGAGATAGCTAGTGCCATCTGAGTAAGCGTGACTAGTAGACTTCTCATAAGCCCACCTGATCTCAACCCTCCAGAACATCCAACCGATCATTCTCCCATCACAACATCAAGTTGCTTTTCAAATGAGTCCCAGTGTCCTGGTCTGATGTCAGTCTAATGCTAGGAGTCAGACGGATGTGTGGGTTCATAGAATCATGGAATTATACAGCACAGAAGGAGGCCATTCAGTCCATCGTGTCTGTCCCAACTCTTTGAAAAGAGCTATCCAAGCCAATCCCACTCAATCGCTCTTTCTCCATAGCCCTGCAAACTTGTCCTCCCAAAATATATCTAAGGGTTAGTCGCAGTGGCAGAGCCAAAGGGAGTGGGTCCATGATCTCCCGTTCCCCAATCCAACTCCCCAATTATCATGATTCACTTACTCCTCTAGTTTTTCAAGATCTCCTTGCTGTTTTCAATGCCCCCCATCACCCCACCCATTGACTAACTGGCAGTCCAGTCCACCAATCAGAGCCCTGTTGGGAGGAGGCAAGAAAGGTAGAGCCAAGTTGGAGAGGCAGGGATTTGGGGGTTGAGATCAGGAGAGGTGGAGGGCAGGGAGGATAGGCGGGTGACCAAAGGCACAGTCAAAGAGGAGGGTCTTGAGATGGGCCTTGAAGGAGACAAGGGAGAGAGTGAGGCAAAGGGACTGTGGGATGGAGTTCCAAAGGGTGGAGCAGAGAGGATGAAGGCCCAACCGCTAAGATTAAAGTATAGAATTTTCCACAAGCTTTAAGGCAAAATAGTCCTAAGGCAAAATTCCAGAAGAATTTTGAGCCCAAGGTTGGCATAAACAGACTGAGAAGATCAGATGTGCAATACCAATGCTCACCACTATGGTGGAAAAACAACTCGTTTGTTGCTGCTCAGCCTTACAAACTCATCAAAGCATTAGTGCAATGCACTAA